ATTAGGTCTAGTTATAAAGCAGGTCTAAAAATATACATTTTAGGAATAATGACAACATATTAGGTCTAGTTATAAAGCAGGTCTAGTTATATAAATATTCATAATTTAAAAGGTAATATAGATAAATTATAAATCTTTCACTTGGGTCACATATATAAATTATGAATATGTAATTAGTCTAAACCTTTAACAACTAGACTTGCTTTATATTTTTCTATATTACCTTTTGCATCCTTTTAGTTTTAAAAATCAATTTATAACCAATAGATTTTGCTCATTTAAACAATCCATGAAGATCCCAAACATCATTATTTTTTATTGATTTCATCTCATCTTCCATGGCCTCTATCCAATTTTGAGAATTAGATTATTGTTTAACTTGAGTAAATGAGATTGGGTCATCTTTCAATCCCATATCAAACTCATGTTTTTGGAGATGTGTAATATAATCATCTAAAATAGCTGTTCTCCTTTCCTTTGTGAATTTTTTTAATGACCCTTCAATTTGATTTCGTGTCATTCTATATGAGTGCGAGATAACTCAAGAGTATTTTGATTATATGGATTTACAATATGAATAATAGCAAGCATGGTTACATGATCATTTTCAATTGTAACAATAGGAATAATAACATATTTCTCCTCAAAATTAAAATATATGAGTTTACCACTCTCATTATATTTAACATCATCAATAAACTTAGCATTGTTCGTTTCAAAAAAGGATTTTTTTTGAGAAATCATAAAACTTAAAGCCTCTTCACCTTTCATAGCATTCAACAAAATAATAGCTAACTGTTCTTAAGTCAAATTTTCTTTCATTAGGCTTATATGACCTAACTTCAGCTAGACATCCCCAAATATGAAAATGCTTAATATTAGATTTCTTTCTAGTTTACAACTCATATGGGTTTTAGCTATTGCTTTGCTTGAAACTTTATTAAAAACATAAATTGCAATCTTTAATGATTTTTCCTAAAGTGATTCTCGTAAAGAAGAATGACTAATCATACTTCTAACCATATTCTTTAAGGTTATATTTCGTTTTTCAATTACACCATTTTGACTTGGAGTCTCTAGCATAGTGTATTGAGGAACGATGACATACTTTGCTAAATATTTTGCAAAAGGGCCTGAACGTTGTTCACCTGATTTTACATATCTACCATAATATTCACCATCATGGTCAGATTTGACAACTTTAATCTTCTTACTAAGTTGATTTTTAACTTCAATTTTAAAGATCTTAAATATATATCGAGATTCTAATTTTTCATTTATTAAATATAAATATTCATAACGAGAATAATCATCTATGAAAATAATAAAATACTGTTAATCATTCCAAGAAGTTATAGGGAATGAATCATAAATATCAGTATGTATTAATTCTAAGACATTTAAACTCCTTTTGATCTTAATTTCTTAATATTTATTTATTTTTTCCTTAATACATTCAATATAAATTTTAAAATCAGTATAATTAAGAGAATAAAAAATTTCATCCAACACAAGCTTTTTTATTCTTTATTTAGAAATATGTCCTAAACATCCGTGTCATAACATAAATGAATTTTCATCAGTTAATTTTTTCTTTATATCAAAATTATTTATATGCAAAATTTCATTTATCTATGAGGCAGAAATATCTAATTTATATAGATTATCAATCAAAAAACCTATACCAATGATTTTTGAATATTTAAAGAGATTGTCCATTTCCAAATTAACAATATTAATCAGATTTGTCCAAACATGAAATAGAAATCATATTCCGTTTAAATGACGGCAGATAAAAAGTCTCACATAAATTCAAATTATAACAAGATTTTAAGTATAATCTATCTAAGCCTATAACTTTAATAAGAGCTTCATTGTTATTCTCCATATAGATAAAATTTTCAGCATCAGTTGACACTCGTCTCCTTAAAAAATCTTGCATAATCACACTTATGTGAGTATTTGCACCTCTATCTATCCACCAAGTATGATTTGGCACCAAAACCAAATTAACTTCAGAACAAACAAGATTTAGAAGTTTACTCTTTTTTGATGAGTTAATTAATTAGTATATTTTGGACAATCCTTCTTCACATGATCAATCTTTTTGCAGAAGAAATAAGTAATAACCGAATCTTACTTCTGTTGCAATTTTGGTTGTGAAGTCCCTTTATTTACAACTCCTTTAGCTTTATAATTTTTTTTCCTTTTAGTGATAATATAATGAGAAGAAAAAGTTAAGTGAGCATTTTTTATTTTTTCTTGTTTCAATCTTTCTTCCTCTCACATACTGAGCAATGAACTCATTAAGAATCCATTTTTCATTTTGAGTATTATAACTTATCTTAAAATGACTGAATTGTACATAAAGAGAGATTAAGACTAGATTCATAAGAATATCAATAGACAATTCTAACTTTAATGCTCTTGGTCTTATAAAAAAATTAGACATTTCCATAATATACTATCTTATGTTTCATTTGCTTTTATACTACATTGAAATAAGTTTATTATGAATAGTATTTGTTTCGACCTTTTCAGAACATGCAAAAATGATCTGTTATTTGGCTTAGAAACTTAACATTTTCCACTATACATAATAGAGGTGCGCGGGGTCCTATGAACCAGTATATGGTTAATCCAGGAGAGGATATAGGACAAGCACAACAAGAGATTGAGAGATCGAAGATTGAGGAATAAGGGGTTGAAGGATGATGAGGAACTATTGGTGTGTGATGATGTAGCATCTGATAATGAGTGGTTTATAGATGATAAGATAGATTTGTCATTATCAGACCTGCAACTAGAGGATCTAAGTGTGAATGTCTTGAGGGGAGAAACAGATCAAGTGAGCACATCCACTAGTACCATATCACATACATTCACTAGTTCTGCAGCATAACAACCAAATAAAGGTATTTCACAACTTCTTATATGCTATTACATTATATATATATATATATATATATCAAGTGGGCAATTAACATGATAATGATCATTTTTATTGAACATGGTAGAGAAAAGTGAGTAACTTTGAAGATGATGAAGATATGACATTCATAGATACAATTGGAGAAGAAGATTCCCTTGAAGACTCATTTAGTGATGAGACATGATTTTATTTTATATATTATTTATTATTTGTACTTTGGGAGTTTTGATAGACTTATATTTTGTGGTTCTGTACTTTGAATTATACTATGCGATGCATATAATGCATCTATTTTATTGTTTTCCACTAATTTCACTTGTCATTTAGATATTTTTATTGTATGATAGACTCTTAATGTTATTTACCGGCTAAAACCCTTAAATTCTCATTTACGCAATTTTTCGTTCGTGAGGCTTACGCCTCACACCACCTCAAGGCTTACGTCTCACCTCACAGACGAAAAACGCCTCGAGGCTTATTTATGCAATTTTAAACCTTGTAAAATAAGTTATGCCATTACATGATTTATTTCATGTGGATTGAATTTATATAACAATCAATAAAACAAAGCTAACTAATATGACATATAATATTAATATGATCATAAACATTTTTTATGTATGGATAATATATGACTGACAATTTGTAAGAAGGCCTATAAAGAATATCAATAAGAAATTTCTATAATAAGGAAGCGTATATTCATACCCTAATAAATAAATATTACCTATCTTAATGTGCGGTACCATAGTCCAACACTAGATGAGGACAACTTGAAAATCATAAATAATTAAATTTATAAATTAATCACAACACTTGCAAACAATAATCTTTACTAACTAATTATTTATGACATAATTCATGAGAAAAAAAAGAAATTAAGCCGTAATCATATACTTATCCCTAAACTTATGGATTAGCACCAATTATTGTAACTTCTATTATAGTCAAAACATTTGCAAGTTGGCAATTAGACCATAACCTCTATCATTGTTCCTCATAATAGTAAGTGTTAAAGTTTGACTGTAATGTCAGCAACAAGTTAATAATAATTTCAATAACTTAAATCCTTGTTGACGAGGATGAAAACTAAGTAATTTCTTCCTACAATAATGGCCAAGAGGGATGATGGAGAGTTTTCATTTACTTTAATCCTTATGAATAAGAAAATGAAATTAAACATTGACCAGTAGGATGAGAAAAAATTTGAGAAGGAGAGGAGAAGAATTTGTTATTGCAGTTGATTGGGGAGGGGCCTATGATGCTACAACTGGAAAAATTTCAGAATCATAATTGTTTAAGGAAGTAATAAATACATTTTATAAATTCACAATATAACCTTTTATTCATAATAAAAGAAGTTAACAAGCACCGTATATAGTATATTTGAATCATGCTTGTTTAGAAAGTTAAATCAACAACTCATGTTATTAGACGTAGAGGCTAATCATATATGATATATCACATGAAAAATAAGTTATGACGATTATGAAGACTTCCATTCTAATCTATGATTACAAATCATAATTAATCCCAAGCATTAGCACCGAAAATAATTTAAAGTAGGAATTTTAAGTAAATTGCTAAATTGATACTTTTTATTATTTATAAAAATTTCATATAAAGTAATGCTTAGTTATTCAGATATAATTGAATGAAGCCCTAGTTACCCTAATTTAAGGTTTATCATCCTAAACTCTAACAAAGCATGAATCTTTAATCCATATTTAGTTAAGCCCTAGGAATCTTTTTTTTTTCATTTCATTATCAATTGTTATATTCTTAACAAAAATAATATATAATATCCTTTACCCATATTTTGATGGAAGAAGATGGAGGAAGAGGTAAACTTCAAAGAAAGAAGTCTTTAATTTGGTGCTAGCCGTTCTATTGAAGATTCACAGATGAATAAGAGAAATAAAAATGAAGAAAAGGAGAAATGATAGAAGATGACTCCAATCTTTCAAGCATCGGTGCTTACACAATCTCCAACGAAGAAATATTTCCTATTTTTGCTCTTATTACTGATGTGTTTTACCTGCTTGTGCTTATCATATCTTCCACATATCCCACAATCTCTATGATATCTCACTCGTTCCCTCTTAGACACTTATGTAGCCATCTCTAACCAAGGAATATAGGTGAACTGTTCCGAGAACCTAATATAAATCGGGGAGAGGTCTATGTTGTTAATCATATTTAGGTTGCTTCCTCCAAAATTATAATATGTTCCACCATCCCTCTTTGCTATCCATATGCAATAGGCTTGCTATCAGTTGAAACAATTCGGTTTAGGCTAGAACAAAGCAATATAATTCTTTTTCTTGGTTATTATATGTGATAGTTGTGAGGATGAAGGGTAGAACAACAATGATGATGGATATTGAATTGCAATCAGGAGTGAGGGGAACGGAGCAATGGCTTATTGCGGCTAGGATCGAGGAAGATGTGAAAATGAAGATGGGGTAGAGAGATACGATTGTTGCAATGACTAGGTGCAAAGAGAGTAAGAAATTATATGATCAAGGTCAAATTGGAAACCCTATGCAGTAAAATATAGAATGGCAAAAAACCAAAAAATTCTTCTGGAAATAATTCAGACCCTGAGGTAGTAATGGGCTGAGTTGACATCTGCTTCAGTTCGATAGTTTTTTTTGGGTTTAAAATAAAAATTGGGTACACCTCATTAGTTTAGCTATTTGAACTAGTTGGCTTGGTTTGGCCACCAGTTTGAAATGTTCTTTAGGTAGGCTGGATATTGCATGTACAATCTTTTGATCTATTGATATGGTCGATAAATTTCAATTGTATGTGGGGATTTAGTAGTAGAAAGAAAGTCGTATGGCCCGAAATGTGAATTTAATAGTAGACAAGCTACTAGAGTATTACTGGTCCTCTATCATCTTGACCAAAGCCAAGGGGTAGCTGGTGCAGAATCCTTTGGAGTAACACTTGTGCCACGTATTTTTTTCCAAAAATTTCCTCCATAACTCATCGACTATCTCCCAACAATTAAATACAGCTAATTACATTTGTTTCTTCAGTTGTTTTATTATATACAAATTTGTCTGCACTGTAATGTTTTGATTCTTTTCTTTTCTTCTATCCATTGAATGTTTGATTTCTCCATAAAAGCGGATAATGCATAATGAATTTATTCAATTTTAACTATTAGTGGGATAAAATTTTATCAACTTAGTTACTTTTTTCAATTTATATTTTATAGCAAATTTTAATGACAAGACACATGTATACTGACATGACTGATTTCTTTTACTTTGATGTATTTATTAGGCAGTTTAATGTGATACAATTGTGGTAAACATTCTTAAGGTTTTATGTCGTTAATGTTATCTTGTTGGAACCTTGTTACTCGAATATTTTGCGGAAAGTAAAAATTTAATTGGAATGCAAAATTCTTTCTGTTTGCTCATCCTATACAACCTTCACCAGATCAAAATAATAAAAGGATTGTTCTAGCTCTACAAAGTGGACTGAAGAGTGAGTTAACATGGGCTTTGAACACTCTATCACTGCTTTCATTTAAAGAGAAGGATGATCTTCGAAGAGATGCGATTCCTCTTGCTAAGATACAAGGGCTGCTAGATGCTCTTCTTCAAATTGTAGGTGCTGCTATTTTGTTTTGTTGTATATTTCCATTCATATCACTCATCCAAGAAACCAACCTACTTTTTCTAGAGCAATAAGCTCTGTTATTTGTCTTTTGTTCTGATTACTGAAGTAATTATTTCAAACTTTGTGGAATCTGGAGAACTTTTGGGTTTATGAATTATTGGTCTTTATTTTTCTTTGTTGTAGTTTTCCTATCTCATTGCATGTTTAGCTTCAATCCCATAGTAAATGTCCTTGTATTTGATGTTGTTTTGAGTGCATTCATTGTGTTTTAGTAAACCCCTAATAGTGGGGTATGGTTAACGATGATTATGTTTCATTAATGTCCGAATTCTGATAATATTTTATGAGAACACTAATTAATCAGACTATTAGTAACACATTTTTTTCAGCATCCCTGCTTTAATGAATATTATATTCTAAATTATTGATCTTGCTTATTTGATTTTGTCCAATTTTAGATAGATGACTGGCGTGACATAGCAATTCCTAGGGATTACAAAAGGTCGTCAAGGCTAAGATTACTTGGGGAAGGTTCCACAGTTACGGGGTTTGGAAATGAGTACGATGTGACAAATTCTGTTGATGTTCCTTCCCATCAAGGGTATGTTACTTTTATTCCCTTGTATTTTCTTTCCACCCATCTTTGAGAATAGCTCGTGTTCAAGAATATAATTTTTATTTGTTTGAAAATTTTGGGTCAAAATTTTTAGCTGTTTTCCATTTATTCATGTTTAAATTAATTGTTGTTTTTAATAGATAAATTTAAATAAATTAAACTGTTTTCTTTTCTGCGGGATTTCCCCTTTCATGTTAATTCATAGTATTATAAATAACTTAGTTGGGGAAAATTTTGTCCTTCGTTCTCCATATTCGAAACTCCAAAACAATTGTGCTTATTTTGTACTTTCTTATGGTTAATAGGTTATTCTAACAAAATTTTATTAATATTGCCATTTGTTATTCTTGTTTTCCCCAGTTTTATCTCACATTCATCTTATTATTTTCATTCTTGCTACATTCTCAAGTGATGGTTCAAATTGACATTGATGGAATGTATTTAGATATATGCATCATCATCTAGCTTTGTGTTGCCTCCATGTTGGTCAAAGGTTTGAAAAAGATGGCTAGCACTAACTCGGTACATGTTTGCAACAACAAATTTAATGAGCTTGGTGTGTAATTATGCACCTCTGACTTGGGCCACATATAATTATGCTTAGATCATCCATAGTTAAAACTTGGCCATAAATTATTCCCAAAATTTAGATCCATATAATATATGCTTTTAATTATCTTGAATACAAATAATAGACTAAACTATTTTGCAACATTGGATTGAAAGATGGCTTTGTATCGATATACCCTATTCGCAAGTGGTGCTTCACATTGACATATTTGAAGAATATTTAGATTGATACATCACCATATAGACCGACGTTCCCTCCATGGTGGTCAAATGTCCAAACAAGATTGCCACACCAACTCAATACATGTTTGCAACTACAAAATTTCACCTGGTTGGGGTATCAGTACTCATTATGCACCTCTTATTCAATCGAGCCAAATATAATGCATTGTTTAAATTGAATTGGGCCCTATTCCCCGGTAACCACTAATTAAGAAAGCCCACTTGATGGGCTGTACTCCAAGCATAAACGTACTACTCTGCTCCAATTCACCTCTAAGGGACACTTAGTTGCACATTACAAGGAAGCAAAGCTTGTATTCTCCTCTATAAATTTGAGAAGCCATGAAAGTTTTAAGGGATGAGATGAGAGCTTATAGGTGAAGAGGATGAATTACTGCCTAAATGATGTTGCGATATGAAATATCCTTCAAGGTATAACTTGCAAGTTTTAAGAGCGAGCTTCACATTTTTAGTGCCATGTTGAAGAATTGCTAAAATGCTAGTTTGGGCCACCTGTCCATGCCAACAAGCACTACCATGGGCCTACTTAAAGCACTACTAAGGGTGCGTTTGGGACGGCTACAGCAGTCGGTAAAGTAGGTTGTGAAGTTACTTTATAGAAAGCTGCTTTCTGAAGTTGCTGTACATAAAACAATATTTTTTGTTTGGGTACTATAACTGTAAAACTGCTTTGCTGCAGTTATATAAGAACAATTTACATTATTACCCTCATTATGCATAAATTTAAATAATATAAATTCAAACTAGAAAGACAATTCAATATGATATAAAATCCTCTTTGGCTCTAATGATCATAATTGCTTTGCTGTAGCTAATTTCGTGGAAAACAAAAGTTTCGTATATCATTTCCAGATATTCGAAATTGCTGTAAAACTGCTTATAGTGGAAATCAAAATCAGAGTAGTTTTAAATAATAGTAATGCATAAAACGCTATTTCAGCTATTGATCTTCAGTGCCATCGCAAATTTCAGTGGAAATTAAAATCATAAATTATTAACAATGACGAGCCTTCAAATGATGAACTATTTTAGCTATTGCTCTCTGAAGATGTGAGCTCAACTTTGCATGCCTGTATCAAATACCTGCATCGATAAAAAACAGCATAGGGGCACCAATCTAGAATACCGTGAAGAAAATCCAAAAATTATCAATCTGGAGACCTAAAACAGGATGTCAGGATCTTTTCTCCAACCCAACAAGATAGAACACCATTTGCATTAAACTCATCCCTTAAATCAAGTTTTTCCACTAATCTAGTAAAAAGGGTTAATAAAGAATCAATACCTTGGCCGAGATCGTGGGGTGCTCGTGGCTAGAGTCCTCGGGAACAACAGAGTAATCAGCGAGGACGACGACGTTAGGTTGGATCTCCTCCGAAACTCACTTCGTACCGCCCGCCGGCAAGTTTATCCAAACAGCTCCGTTCCAGGCATCCACGAGACGAATAGGAAGAAGAAGAGTAAGAAGAAGAAGAATCCATGCATCGCTACGGCGGAGCGCAGTTCGTGACATGACATCGCTGACGACGAGGGAGAAGCAGTCTCGCACATATGGGGGCATTTACGACATCTTTTCCTTTTAAAACCACGGGAAGCAGCCGACCGCGGGAGGCATTAAAAGGTTGCGGGAAGCAGCGGCGGGCCGCAAAAATCTGCTCAACTTGTTCTGCCGCAATACGTCAAACGGGCATTTAACAAATTTTTATAAAGCAACGCAGCCGTGAAGCCGTCCCAAACGAACCCTAAGACAAAATCCAAGACTTATGGAAAAGTTTTGCTTCACATTGTTAGTGACATGTAGAAGCATTTTGATAATTCTGAATAATATAATATAATTTTATTACATTTTCACCGGTTAAATATGTGTATAAGAATTTATGGTAAAATAAGTAGAAAGTAAGTAGGGAAAAAGACAGACTGAAAATGGGTTGAAAAATGCTATATTATGATTTGACATGATTAGATTGCAAAGTAATATGTACATAAATGATTAATATGATTAACTTATGCAAGAATGTTTGCTACTAGCCTGAATTTGATATGATGTCTAGATATGATATATTGATTGATTTCAGATATGTGATGTGGTAACCTCGTGTGATATCCTCAAAATTCACGTGGTCCACTGACGGGAGTCAGTGGATGAGAGTCATAAGAAGCTGGAGATTGATTGAGAGTTATAAGGAATTGTGGCGATTGATTCACGTGATTTAAGAGGAGTTATAAGGCGCACACTGATTGAGTCATAATGAGTGACTAATTGGGAGTTATAAGTGCAAGAGCAAGATACCATCTTCTGAATATCTGAATATTGTTATTAATACTGATATTGTATAGATATTAATATTACAGACACTAATCACTGTTACTGATTGCTATTACTGATTATTGTTATTATTACTGCGATTGATACTAAGAATACTGATATTGTTACATATATAGTTCTGTTACTGATACCCAATACTGTTATTGATACCGTGACTATAACTGACAATTTCATGTGAGTTGAATGGATGATAAGATTGAATGGAATTGATTGAGTGATAAAGATCGACTGACTAACTGATTGATTAGAATTTATGTTGGAGGAATGAAACAGAACTAACTGAGATATGATATGTTATAGATTGATTGTTGATATAAATAACCGACATATATACATTGATGCATATATTTTTTGCATGATTTACAACATACTGTTCTCTTTTACCTTGCATTGATTTTAGTTGTAAGATATTAGTTACTTAATGGGCCATGTGCTATTGCTAACCAAAATATCATCAATTATGAATGCTCGACTACCTATGACAAATTAAGGTACAAAGCCTAATCTCATTTGGATAGATTTAGAAATAAGGCTCATTCTCTAACCTCAATGGACATTTATTCTGACGAATCAACCAAGGCAATCTCATTGAAGTTTGATCTAGGGTTCAAAGGAAAATAATCCTTCAAAGAGCCACGAGGGATGTTTGCAATATAAGGTGCCTTAGTTATTGATCCTATCAAAATTAATAAATGATGAGGTTCATTTTTCAGCTACACCAATAAGCTTATTGTGTCAAAGTCCCTGTTTGCAACAACAACGATATCAATGCACTAAAAGAAGGGCCAAAATAAAGAAATGCATTAGCCTACTATAGGAGCCTATGCCGTGCTAATGTGATTAGGTTGGTCATTGTTTCAATAAAGACTGTTTACTTACAATTGAATGAATGTTCATAGATAACATATTCCTATAAGCAAGGATTGTTTAAGCGACTTAGCTCCAATTTGTGGTGTTACTTCTTGTATGAACGATGAGTCAAATGTAGTTAGGTGTCAACTGTGATATTGAGTTGTTAGTTTTAAGCCAACAGGTAAGATATGCCAAAGAGGACACACACGACATGGAGATTGTGATCAACTCGATCAATCCATTACTTAGTTTGATGATGTTCAAACGATGAGTCAAATATAGTTAGGGTGAGTGATCCTTTGCAAAGGAGGCGTTACCATATTAAACTTATATTAGAGATGTATGCTCTTGTGGGCAAACTATTAAGTTTGATCCAAAAAATGAAGTGCTCTGGAGTTGGTTACTATGATAACATGAGCTATATAACTCTGAAATAAACTAGCATTTATTTTCCTTTCATCAGGGGACTTCTCTTTAACTCATCCTTTCTGCCATTTCTCGGACCATTTCTTGGACTAAGCAATCTCCTCCCCTGATAATAACCCTAACTCCTCGAATAGGAGTCATACTAAATGAACCATGCATAACTCGAAAGGAGAAAATCAATTTGCTTCATAAAAATTTGATGTTGGATCTTGGATGATACTTCTAGAATACAATTATCTAATTGCCCTTAATGGTTATCTCTTCCATAGGGTTCTCCTTCTCAACAATAAATATGAAATAAAAAGGGTGATTTAGTGGATGACCTAGGAAAGGATATAGGGACAGAATGCATGAGCATGGGCTATTAGAGGTATGATGATCATCGTTTTTGTGGGGAAGCATATGAACCAATAAAAGAAGTTTGGTTCTACCGGCACCATTGATATGTACTGGGTTGACGCATTGGATTTATATTTTGATTGATTTGTCTGTGATAGACCTAGGTCTTCTTCACCCCCCCCCCGCCCCTTTCTATTTTAAAAATAAAAAAATAGGAAAATACAAAAAAGATCGGGCAAGTTAATTATTCAACAATTTAGTCTTCGACTCTTTTAGTTCCTAGGTCTATTTGATAAAGGTAATTATCCCACTTTTATGGTAATCTAAATTAATAAAGGGTAAATATAAGCATAAACACCCGCTACATTTATGATATTCTCATCTATAATTAATTAAAAGCAAGTAATATATCTCTAAATTTATTAACCTGAAAATTTTCATTTTTTGCCAAATGAGTGGAGTATGTTGATTCCTATTTTTAAGAACTAAGGCGATGAACAAGAGTGTGTGAATTATAGTTGAATTAAGTTAATGTGTCATACTTTAAAACTATGGGAGAGAGTTATTGAGCATAGGTTACGATGTGATACTAATGTTTGTCAAAATCAATTTGGATTCATGCCAAGTAGGTATACTATATAAGCATTGAAAGGTTTGATGGAGAAGTATAGAGAGAATAAGGAGGATATACATATTATATTTATTGATTTAAAGAAAGCTTGTGACAAAGTTCAAAGAGAAGTGCTTTGGAGAGTTCTAGGAAAAAAGCGGTTAATAATGATTATTTTCAAGTCATCAAGGATATGTATGCATGAGCTATTACTTGTGTTCAAATAGAAGGTGATTCGACTAATCATTTTTTTATTTCAGTTGGATTACATTAGGGATCAGCGTTAAGCTCATATCTTTTTGCTTTAGTCATAGATGTTGCAAGAGATTGTACAATGGTATATGCTTTTTGCTGATGATATTGTACTTGTTGATAAGATTAGAGAGGGTGTTGAAGATAAAGTTGAAATATGGAGGTCAATCCTATAGTCTAAAGGTTTTCTTTTGAGTATATCTAAAATCGAATACATGGAGTGTAATTTTAGAAGTAATAGATCTGATGTGGGGGGATTGTAACTTTGGGCGATCAAGTCATTTTTAAGAGTACACATTTTAGATATCTCAGGTTTATTGTCCAAAGTGATGGTGAAATAGATGGGAATATTATTAGTAGAATTCAAGTAGGATGGTTGAAGTGGAAGAATACATCTGGCATGTTGTTTGATAGAAAAGTACCCCTCAAATTTAAGAAAAAATTCTATAAGATGGTGGTGAGACCTGTAATGTTTTATGGAGTAGAATGTTAGCCATTAAAATAGAAGCATACAATTAAGTTAATTGTTGCAGAGATGAGGATGCTCAGGTGGATGAGCGGCTTTACTCTTAGAGATGGAATAAAAAACGAGCATATACATGAAAAGGTTGGAGTAGGTCCACTGGAACATAAGATTAGAGAGAGTTGCCCTAGATGTTTTGGTCACATAAAGCATCAGCCTTCTCATGACCCAATTAGGAGAGTAGATGTATTAGATTTGACCTATGTTAAGAGAGATAGAGGTAGAATTAAAAAGACTTGGTTAGAGAATATTAGAAATAACCTTTTTTTATTAGATTTAAATGAGAATTTAAATGAATCATGTAGCCAACCCCACGTAATGGAATAAAGGCTTGATGCTTTTGTTGTTGTATTCAAAATTCAAAATCATCTACATGCTGTCATATTATTAACCTTTGCTACTTGGAATGGTTTATAACCTTTACAAATTCTGATTTTTTTTTTCCCTTTTCATTTGGTTTCTCGCATAGATCTAATATTGATCATCTTCTAGTCATTATTCCGTTAGTCCCTGCATTCAAAATCTATCAATTTTATGTAGCACTTTTGCTCTTAGTTTTAAGCTTAGCCAAGTTTTTCTCAATTTTCATTGCAATTATGTTTAGTTATGAGCCAAATCCCCATTTAAATATAATAATTGATTTTATATACTTGTGGTACTTCGGCATTTCTTAATCTCGTCATTATTGGTTGATCATTTTTTGTTATCATTTCTATGATAATTACAAATTTAGACTTTTTTTTGTTTACTTGAAATGGTTATCTTATATAGCAACCCGGGGAATGTTTTGTCAAACATGGAGACCTCTGTTCGCAAAGCTTCAAAAAACCGGGTTTCAGACTGGTGGTTTGAGGAAGATGGCTTATTTAATCTTGATGATGAAGGACGCTCAGAAAAGCAACAATGTGCAGTTGCTGCTTCAAATATCATTCGTAACTTCTCATTCATGCCTGAAAATGAGACGATTATGGCTCAAAATAGGCATTGCTTGGAGACTCTATTCCAGTCTATTGAAGATCAATATATGCGTAAGCATTATTTCCTTCTCATTTAAGTGTTGTGAGCATGTTATAGGCTCATATGTTTAATCAACCATAAGAAATGCTGGGGCTATCCTTATGTAATATCTACATAAGGAAATGCATATTACCATTTTTATTGAAATTGCAAACAAAGCGGATTATGCTTTAATAACATTACTAGTAGAATTTATATATGCACTTTTTGTTTTTCTTACACTTTGTTGTGATGAATGAGTTTTATCCTCAAATTAATGAACTGATCTCTCTCCAACATGTTAACTTTCTCTATCTTTTTCGCTCGTATTTCCTTACGGTTTTGTTACGTTGTAGTGTAACATAATAGATGGGCACGGAATATGCATGTAAACTAGATTCTGTGTTGTTGTCTGTGCTGGAAATAATGTGATGCTGTGTCCAACTGACCAGAAGATGAAGAGCTCATAACCAATGCACTTGAGACATTGGTAAATTTGTCACCTCTGCTCGACCTTAGAATATTCAGCTCATCAAAGCCTTCTTATATTAAAATAACGTAAGCCAATTTCATCACAAAAATATCTTTATGTTTGTTTTTTTTTTCTGTTTTCTACTTATTTAATTTAAATTGAATCAAAACAGGGAGAAAGATGCAGTGCGTGCCATTCTGAGGATGTTGGAATCTTCAGTTAAGGCATGGCATTGTGCAGCTGCTGAACTTCTTGGGCGTCTAATAATCAATCCTGACAATGAGCCATTTCTTCTTCCTTCAGCTGCTCAGGTTAGTGGCTTTACTCAAATATGCTTCTCAGTTAATAACTTTAGCCTATCAGTGCTTTATCCGTTTCAAAGTAAACCTTAAACCACTTTATGGCGGGGTTTTAGGATTTCTAAACCTTCTTCTTCTTGAAGTTGAAGATTAGTGAGTGAAGTAGGCCTGACTGAGAGCTACAATGAGAGACGGTTGCTCGCACCTTTTTTTATTCATCGAGGAAAAGATCATTCAACCAAAGCAACATATTACTTTGAAAATTAACAATACTTTGTAGGTCATTAGGAGGAAAATAGTTCATGTACACAATTTCTCCAGAGCCTAAGGGTGAAGAAAAGGAATAAAATTTTCCAATGCAAGAATGGCAGAAAATTGCTTTGCATTCAATTATTCAATCTTCAATAATTTTGGATTCAATACATTATGCATATTCTGAAAAGAGACAACGTAAATTGGATAAAATGACAAATAAGTGTAAATTCGGCCAAATAAGGAAGAAATCAATGAAGGCAGAAAGAGGGATCATTTGATAATTTCTTCATCTATTTTGACTCATTGTGATTAGACTGTTGATAATTAAATTTATCAAATAATTTGGTTGAATGGTTAGCCAACATTGATGATGTATTAAGAAATCTCTTCTGGAGAGTTTTTAGTGGTGTAATCGTCAAGGACATTTGGTGCAAGTTTTGCAATTCTTCAGTAAGCAGTTATGAGTGATCTGATGGCGATCTATCTTTCCACTAAATCAACTAATGATGATCTACATATTTACCCAGCTGACTCTACCAAAATAATTGTATCACAAATATCTCTTGTAGAAGAATCATTTAACAATTACATTAAAAAAAAGAAAAAAGAAAAGATCTTTTAAAATTTCTTTAGGAATTATATCTTCTATATAAAATATTGCACTAATAAATGTATTAGTAGACAAATCAAGAACATAAGTATTATAACTAATTTATGGGTTGAAAAGGACTTGTAAGCCTTCGTAATAATTTCCTAAACGTTTTTTGTGAGAAGCATTCAAGTCTTACCCAAATCATGCTAAAACCCATATAACTTTTATTTTACTCTCGAGCACTTATTAAATTCACAGCTTCAGACTTTTTCTATTATTCAAATCCATGTATTTTTAAGTGCATCATGCATGCTATATGCATGTTTTCCAATTGATGCAAGGGAATTGAAAAATGCATGTAATGGTGAAGGTGCAAGATTTGTAAACTTTCTAGAGTTTAATGTGTTAAGTTTTATGTCTTTCCTATAGATTTGAATACAATGATATGTTACGAAAAATCAATTGAAGGAAGGTGCAGATCACAGCTCCTAGACTCTTACCTTCAAGTCATTTTACTACATTTCCTTGGTTAAGTCTAATAAGCCTTCTTAGGGCTTTTTAAGAATCCATTCATGAGTGAGATGAGCTAAGTATAAGTTCTCTAAGGTAAGACCGCCCAAGGTCCATTGTTTTAGACTAGTTCAATTCGTCGGGTTTACCTAATCTAGGGGTATGGTGAGCCATCTAGGCTTTATCTTCGGACACTTAAGCCTAGGCTTTGCCCAACCAAATTACTAAACTAATCGGGTCTTAGACTGACTAAGAGTTGATTATATGAACTAAACTACTATAATGAACGAATTAGTTTGAGTCTACCTTTGCCAAGCTAGGGTTAATCTAGGTTTACTAGACTAAGGTGAGTCTAAGTTTGACTAGACTAGATTGAGCTTGCGTATGTGAATTTAGATTTACCATATTAGGTCGAGCTTAGCTTTTGCTAGACTAGGGTTAATTAGGTAGGATTAGCAACATAGTCAATTAGAATTGAACTATCCTAAGATAAATAGCTTATGAATTTCTTTGAGCTATAAAAGGTGAAGTGAGTGTTGGGTTTACCAAACTAAGATTTTATTTGGGACAATAGCTTATGCTTTTAAAAGCTTCTTTTTCCACCATTAGTTTTAATATGCTTTTAAAAAATAGTTTTTCATAAATAAAATTTTAAAAAACTTGTGTAAAAGCTATCATCCAAACATACATTATTTTCTATTGACTTTTTTCCTAACAAAAAAGCAATCAAGAAAACTATCTCAAATGAAGCCTAAGAGTTAATATGTACTGCTAAACTTTGCCTAATAGGGAATCAATGGCTGACTTTGATCCTTTGATCAAGATCCTTCTCTATTGTTTCCTTGAGAAGGTTAGTGCTAGGTCTTGCTAATTAGGGAATGAAGTTAAAACTTCTAAGCACCTAGATTCTAGGTTCTAAAAGAATTGTGTGATGCACAACTTTTGACCTTAAGATTTAGTTAATTGATGGCCAGAATTTATGAGTTCTAGGAGTCCTAAGACCTCTCCTAAGTCAAATTGGAAATCAATAAATAGTCAACAAACAATGATGGCACTACATCTCTTATTTTTTTTACTTGTTTTACTGCACAAATCAATAAATAGTCAACAAAAAATGACTTTAGTGACCTTAGCACCTTAAATAAGAATATAAATTTTTATTTTTATCTGTGTATTAGTAAAATCAAAGTTATAGAGGCTTAGGAGATGGGAATTTCTTGGCTTACTAAACTTTTTAAAATTATTTTGAAGACTAAAAAGATACTATATGAGTAGAGAATGAGTTTGTTGATTCTTATTTTAAAGAATAAAGGTGATGCACAAGATTGTGCAAATTTTAGATGAATTAAGTTATGTGTCATACTTTAAAACTACGGGAGAGAGTTATGGAGCATAGGTTGCGGGGAGATACTAATGTTTCTCAAAATCAATTGGATTCATTCCGGGTAGGCCTACTATGGAAGCTATACATTTATTGAGAGGTTTGTTAGACCGGTCCACTGGACCGGTCCAGTCGGTCCACGCGGGACCGGCAGTTTGCAAAAACAGCGAGATCTCCGCCTCCTGCGGAGATCGGGCGGCCCGTCCGCTCAAACAGAGCATTTTAGGAAGGATTTTTTGAGGATTTCAGAGAGGAATTTGAATGTAGGGACTGTTTAGGGAATTCCTTTTGATTTGTATGCATTAAATAGATGTTTTTCCTAGGGTTTGGGCATCTTGAATTTGGCTGAAATTTGAGATCTCTTAGAATTAGGTTTTCTTTGGGCTCTTGGCATTGCCAGAGATTTGGGAGAGATCGATCCTCCTCTCGAATTGAGGATCAATTGTATCTTTTCTATTTTCTTTGATTTCTAGTGAAATACAAGCGAAATCTTGTGTTTTTCTCCTCGTTTCCCAATTTCCTGCTGCATTTTCCCTGTTTTTATGCTGTTTTGCTGCTGTGGACAGCAGTTACTGCTGAAATTATACTGATTTTGGCTAGGAACACTTGGGAATCCAAGTGTTTCCTATCAAGGTTTTATGGAGAAGTATAAAGAGAATAAGGAGGATCTACATATTATATTTATTGATTTAGAGAAAGCATATGATAAATTTCCAAGAGAAGTACTATCGAGAGTTCTAGAAAAGAAAGGGGTTTATAATGATTATATTCAAGTCATTAAGGATATGTATACAAAAGCTGCTACTTGTGTTCAAACACAAGGTGGTTTGAACAAGTATTTTCCTATTTCAGTTGGATTACATAAAGTGATAAAGGATCAGCCTTAAGCCCATGTCTTTTTTGCTTTAGTCATGGATATTCTCACTAGACATCTACAAGAGGTTGTACCTTAGTTTATGCTTTTTTACTTATGATATTGTTCATAAGACCAGAGAGGGAGTTGAAGATAAACTTGAATTATGGAGGTCAATCTTAGAGTCTAAAGATTCACTTCCATAATTAATTTCACACAACAAATTCAACATATAAACTTTTCATACACAATCAAAGGCCCAAATAAAGATCTTATCTTACACCCGTTATCCATGAAGGGAGGTGGAAGGAAGGAATACCCGGACGTGTGATGGGAGGCGGAATCCATGCGGAATTGCAGAATCGGGCGTTTGTGAGGTTCATGGCTTCGATCGGGCCCGAGGGAGGAGGAATCCATGCGGGTGTGAGGATTATGGCTTCACCTGCGAGGGATTGGGCATGAATAGGGTTTAGTTTCGGGGGGGGGGGGGGGGGGGGGGGGGGGGGGGTAGTTTTAGTTAATAAATAAATAACTAATAACTTAAAATTTATTATTATATTATTTATAAATAAAAATTATATAACCTAAATTCAAATTGCGCCCGAATGGCTCGTGCCAACTTAAACTTGCGCTCGGTGCCATGCAGCTGGCGTTGTACTTGCGCCGTGCGCTATGGCGCACTCCATTCTGCGCCATCAACTAATAACTTATATTATATCTTATTCAAAGAGGAATGGAGGAAATAAAGAATTTGATAAAGATATAGAAAAAGTGATGGATGCTTTTCTTATGAAAACTGTTTTGGTAAAGGTGCCACATTACTATCCCCTTTTATTAAACAATCAGGTTTTGAAAATTGGCATTTGTACTTAATAAATCATGTTCTGCCGTGCAAGTACTTCTGATCCCCTTACTTTTCTTTGGTCTATACTGTCGTGGGATCTGGTTCATTAAATCTGTAAAATCTGGCTATCGTTTTGTCCATCTACAATACTCCATTCTCACTTTATTGCCATGTAGCTAGATTAATGGATGCTATCGCTTGGTCTTGTCCCTTAACCATGTGACTACATGAGCATTTATACTTAAGTGCTGCTAAATCTTAGATAGTGAATGCTTGGTAAAAACATTCATTATTTCTATGAAATAATTTTTTAGGGTGTATGAAGCTACAAAGACTTCCATCTTATTTCTTCATTAAGGTTTCTAAGATTGTATTAAGTGTTCGTCTTTTTCATAAAGTTCAAGAACCTATAGTTATATGCCTTTGTACTTTATGGGAAATTTCGATTAAAGGCTTGGCCGTAACTAGATTTAGTTGGAATAGCTTAGCAAACATGATTCATTGGAACAATCGTTTTGCAATGTAATGTTACTTATTATAGAACTGAAGTAGCGATGAACCATTAAATTATATTCACAGTTTGCTTGCCTATCATTTTTAATTTGATAGGTCTGTAAAACAAATAAATTGAAGTAAACCTGGCATGTACATTTCCATTATTGCATGGTTCCATAGATTCACAGAACATTTGAGCGACTGAAAGTGATACCTAACCATATAACCCCAGCATGACAGAGTAACTTAATTTTGTTTTTCAGATTTGTAAGCGTTTGGTAGATCTCCTCAGTGTATCCGCAGTGGATGGACAAGCAGCTGCTGTTGGTGCACTCTACAATCTCGTGGAAGTGAACATAGATTGCAGGCTGAAGCTTGGCAGCGAGCGGTGGTATGGAACCTTCTAAGCCTATATATAGAATTTTTATTCTGTGCGGAGTCCGGAGCATCCGGAGACCAATAAAAACACATCACGTCATCCCAAAAATGTACCGTGCTCGGTACCGCTCCGAGCGCATAATCGGACGGAAGAACTGTCCGGTCTCCGCACATAATAATAGCTTCAATTTGTACAGCTCAAGTCGGATGAATTGAATTTGTATTTGTTCCAGGGCCATCGATCGACTCTTGAAGTTGGTGAAAAGTCCTCATCCAGTTCCAGAAGTTTGTAGGAAGGCTGCATTGGTACTGGAAAGTCTTGTTTCTGAACCACAGAATAGAGCACATCTTGCTTATCATGAGACTACTTTTGCAGAAATCCTCATGTCTGATGGAAAGTATTCTGACACCTTTGCGCGAATTTTGTATGAGTTGAACTCCAGGCCTAGCAGTAAAGTTGTTACAGCTCGCGGAGTTTGGGGAATGTGACAGTTCTCTGGCTTCACTAGTGGTGTATTAGGTTCGTCCTACATTTATTCCCAAACCAATTTTGATAACGTTCTAAATTCTGATCTTAGAGATTTTCATCTTGTTTTTAGGAGTTTCTTCTTCCAGCAATGGAGAAAGAAACTATTAAGTGGTTGATTGGTTATGTGTTTTATGCTACCATGAGTTGCAGCTATTATTTTTTAGTGTTTGATTCATTGCCAATGGTAAAATATTGGTGAATTACTTCAGATTCTTGGTGTTAAGTTCATCTTAAACTCTTTTATTCAGTTCCTTTGAATTAAATTCCTAGCATTCAAACGTGGCATTAAATTTCTGTGAAATCATTTTTACCTCAAAAGGTCATCAGGATTCTATGGAAGATCTTTTCAAGGAGAGATTATTACGTGCGGAGTCTGGATGGGAAGAACCGTCTGGTTTTGTGACTGAACAATAAAAGTGCAGTGTGAACAATCAAAGCATAGTAACTGTACATTTACTGTTCACAATCACAGAATCAGATTGTTCTTCCCATTCGGATTTTGCACATAATAATTTGTCCCTTTCAAGGGACCTACTAATTCATAGTGGAGCAATTGGTAGGAATGTTGAAGCACAAACAACAATAGAGATTTGGTACGAACGTTCTTTCAAAAGATGATCCCCTAAAGAAAAGCAATCATAAAAAACTAATTTCTGCTAGATCATGTCAACTAAGTAGTAATAATATCATGATTTAAGAAATTATAAAAATATTGATTGAAAAAAGATTTTTAGGAGAGAGCTATCGCTTTTGTGAGTGAATATTAGAATTCAACCTAATCTTGTTAATCTAAAAAAAAAATCCTAATCTTGTTCAACTTATTATGAAGATTTTGAAGTATTATTAGCAAGATAAAAATAATGAACACCATTGAAGATGAGAATCATTAGAGTTTTTGCTCATTGAAATATATGTTGAAGAAGCATTGTTCAAATATTTGTTTTGAATAATGTTTGTAGGTAAGAAGTTGGAGTGTGCATAAACAAATTCTCACATTCATTTTGAAAGAAAATTGAATCATTCAACTAATTCAATGCTGTTTTTTTTTTTTAATCTGATAAGATGAATGCAAAAAATAGTGATAGTTTGAATTTTTCTTTGATTGTCAAATAAGTATCAAACACTGTCGTTGTCAGGTCCCAAGTCTTGGATGAGAAAAGTGGAGGGTTGCGTTAGGTAGTCAGCAGCCAGCGTTAAACTTTTCGAACAATAATAACATGAATCATTTAAGAAAAAGAATGAGCATCTCATAACTTATAAAAATGGATATAATACAACCCAGATTGACTATTTTCTTATTAGAAAATTAAATCGTTTAGATTGCAAATATTGTAAAGTTATTCCGAGTGAAATTTTATGTACCCAACATCGATTATTAGTTTTGGACTTTAAGATAAAGGGGCATAAAATAAAAAATAAAGTAAAATAATTTTCTAGGATTAGATGGAGGCATTTAAAGAATATTAACAAAAATATTTTTGGGAATAAAATTTTAGATCTTAAGTTTTTGTCTGTGCATGAGGATGCTAATGTTATGTGGAAAAAAGTGGCTAGTGATATTAAGAATATTGCAAAAGATGTCATTGGAGTATCAAAGGGAAAAGCTCATAATAGTAAAAATAGTTGGTGGTGGAATCAAAATATGCAAAAAAGATTAAGAATAAGAAAATTTGTTATAAAAATTAGTTTTTTAAAAATTTTAAAAACTCTGATAATTGAGAAAGATATAAAGAGGCTTGTAAGGAATCTAAAAAAGTAATATGTGATGCAAATACCTTAGCTTTTA